AAACTGAGCAGTACGCCCCGCCTATCTAAATTACCGCTAGCGAGGCCGAGGAGAGTTGACCAACTCTTTTAGTAAAAAAAATTACAGGTACAGGGTAGACGAGCGCCTGTCCAAAACATGAGCTGGTTTAAGCTGATACAAAGAAGTACACAAAAGACAAACACGCACACGATCCTTTCTGTGGAAACGACCAGCTCATCCACAAACACAATAAAATCGCCACTAAAAATAGCAAAACGATCTACGAAATTGTATAACGGTTGTTTCAAAACAGCGCCAACTGGATCAAAGGCCGTCTTAACAGCTGATTCACAAAAATAGTCTGCTGATATTTACCAAATTAGTGACCAAGAACAGAAGGGCAAAGGTGAACCTTTATCCGTCACGAAAATACACACCAGAACTTTCTCTGTATTATTTACCTTCTTTTTTTTCAACATCTTTTACTTTCCCGCGGTGGGTAATGAATGTCCGAAATACAAACATGCACACACACACACACACAAAAACCCAGTAAAACAATTGGCAACAAGTTACTAACAAAAACAAGTCCACAGACGGTCCGACAAAAGGGCATGGCTGTATACTCGAAGTTCCTAGGCTAGAGGAAGGCTTAAAATAATATCAAATGATATCCATCACTCTTCTTCAGCGTCACTGACATGGACTTAAAGAACTAGTCAACACTTATAACATGTGAGAGTGTTTACTAGCGTTAAACGTTATCTGTTTTGCCAGTTCATTTCAGGCCTGCCAACCTTAGTATTTGGGTGGCAGCTGGACGACAAACTACATCATCACATTGCAAGCAAATTGTATAGCTGCAGAGGAATAAAAAAACACTCAGTCGAATACAGTGTGAACAAGACAACAGGCGATCAAACACGCATCCTGCAAACAGCTACACACAAGAGAATTGGCATTCAATGATTGGTACGAAGAAAAAAATGCAAAGCCTGGGAAAAAACAGCACAGGTAGCAATCAACCAGCTGGTCAGCGGACATACAAATCTACAGAAACTGAATCGACCCATAAGTGACTCCAAAAGTGTAATGTCAAAAAGAAAGAAAAAGAAACACAAACCACTACATCTATCACTAGAGAAGGGTGAGAGGAAAAGTGCAGGTAGACAACGTCTTACAACAGTGCAGTCAGATAAATACAGAATTCATACACGTACGTTTTTAAACTAGTAAAAAACACATTTTGGTGCCTTGCAAGACTGATAACTAATCAACAAGTCGATTGGTACCCAACAAAATCAGGAATAACACAGGCTAAGAAATTATCATTGATACAAGTAAAATGGAATCATTATCATCGCCTCATGAGTCATGCGGTTGTCATCACAACAAAATACATCTCAAACACAGTAAACGAAATATCTAGAGAAAAATAGAATGAAGCCCTAACGTAGTCAAAGACGATTCAAACTACTGCTGGATAAAATATGGAGATTATACTTCCGATGTTTTGAGTGATACATCCATCACTCTTCTTCAGCGTCATTTAGATATGATAAATTAACAACACTATTGTTTACCTGTTCTGTTAGTTCATTTCAGACCTGCCAACTTTAATCTTTTTGGGGTTTCAGCCGGGTGACAAACTACTGAAATTCAGTCATTAATCATCAATAGTTCGTGTCCAACTAACTAGAGCGTAGAATTAACACTACTCGTTGACACAGCGGACTACAGGCGCAGACGAAAATTTAGAAAAACAACAGCTACATGAGCAACATTACAAACGGTGACTAACAAAATTCAAACTACTCATAGACAAAAGACATACTCAGTAGCCTGTACGTCACCAGTGATCAATACAACAAACAAAGCCGGAAATTGATGAATTATACAAACTGCACAAATACACAGTCGGTACCTTGCGACACATTATACTTCCGACATCAGCTAATAACTTGTAAAATATGTCCACGTCCTTGTCTAACTTCCCTTGGACGAAACGACTCGCCGAAGTTGCTGGACGCTTACGCCGTCATTAAATTCTTAAACAACGTGCTTTAACGAAATTATCGAAGATTTGCTGGCATCCAGGCTTTAGCGCCCGCAAACAATGTAAAACCGTGACCAACAGATTTTAAAACAAACAGGGACTAAGCGTTACTACTAACATCCCAATTTACGTCCACAACAAAGGCAAAGAAACTTCCGCTAAATTTCTAACCAGACAGACCTTACGTATTTTTCTTTTACATTGTAAGATATATTGCTGGTGCTTCAATAAGTATGTCATGTCCCTCCCCCACTTTGGAACAATGTTGTCAACAAGAAAATGTCCGTCAAAAACGCCAAAATTTTGTTAATTTTAGACAAAAATTACAATTAAACTGTTAGTACAGAGTCGAAGTGTCCATACCATATTGTATACTTGTAGCATGCATATAAGAGGAAGAGGACTTACCAGCGAAAATGTTTTCTACTGTCGTCCGGGCCATGTTGTACGCTTCTGCCCCGCGTCCGTCCGTGTAGCTTTATATACGAGAACGCGTACGGTGAGTGAAGCCTGAGTGAAGCATTCCTCCGCGGTGCAATCGTACGGGATTGCCGGACGGGTCTGGTGATTCCCTATGATTCCCCAAGCCTCAGAGTTCAGTTCAGCAACTTTATTCTCACTTCGGGGTGCATACCGGAACGTCTAAGCAGCCACTGAAGCAGCGCGAAAAGTGATGCAGAAAATACTCGTTTACGGACGCAAACGAAAGTATAAAACATCTTGGACACTGGGCGCTACTTTAGTCCAGATGACTCGGTCTCAAACTCCTCGGTGTCGATGGGAGCACAAGTTCCAAACTGTACACAAGTGAAGTCTCCAAGCTGGCAGCCGAAAGAAGTTGTCGATTCTGACTGTGGTATTCGGTTGGTTCACACCCATCCCCCAAATTTGGAAAATATCTGTCAAATTTACTTGAAGTAGTTCATCCTGATTGGAGGAAGAAATATGCAAAACGTGTCAAAGTCCGATACTACCGTTGACATTTCTTGTCCAGACGTGCCAGATTGGCCTGTGCGAGATTGACAGGTAAGGGAATTGCCCGGAACACTAAGGCACTGGGGATACGAAGTCCTTGGCCACCGTTATCCTACACCAGACGTGGGCGTGAGAGGCGGAATACTGAACAGATGTGCTCTCTGTCACTCACTAGAAGGCCTTCAAGCAAGGTGACGGTAATACGAGCGAATACAAGGTTAAGATTATACAGTATTTATTACATTGGCGATATGCTGCCCCTGGATAAAAAAAAAAAGAAAATGAAATGAAAACGGCGAGATAAGTCATTAAGTGAATTATACAAGAGACGAATACCCATTTTGAGCCGGGGCGAAGGGCTCTAGGAAAAAATTAAAATTGGGGAGAGGGCCTAGGAAATAGGATCTATTAAACTCTCTAACGTTTCTATATAATCTTAAAACGTGATTTACGTCCGTCCCATTCACATCGTAGCGATTTTCCGGTCATTGGAATCGGCTGATGTTACATTGGGCAGGCAGGTCTAAATCCAAGAAATCAGCCTCAAACGTAGGGACTGTACGATATTTAGTGGGGGGGAGGGGAAGTCCCGGTCGTCCGGGGGTAGCGTAAAAAGATTTTTTCTAGGCCCTACCCCAGGTCCGACAAAAATTTCCCAAGGCCGGCATGACAGACAGACAGACAGATAGATACGGGGACTGTTGTTGCTTCTTTGTCCTGGTTCGCCTTCCCTTCTCCTCCCACCACGACCAGCTGTCGCATTCGCGGGAGGACAGGCACGCGCTGCCGAGCGGGGAATCAGTGTATGTACGGCGATCTCAAACTGGGGCCGTACAATCGTAAAAACTGGCCTAATAGCAACTTAAAGCAACCTACATAAGCACAGGGGCACGAACAACAACAAAAAAACTTGAAAGATTGACCAAAAAAAAACGAAATTTTATCGGTCCTGTCAACAGCAATTTGCACTGCTGCCAGGAAAAATCCTGTCAGCAGTGCAATACTTTCTGTTATTGAAAGGACGTTCCTGTAAACAGTGCAATACTTTCTGTTAGTACTGACAGGACGGTCCTGTCAATAGCCACAGGCTTTCCTAATCTTCAAGCAGATCCCTCTCGGTGGCAAAAAGACAGTATCAAATTGGCCAGGCAGTGTCCATTAGCCAGAGAAGGTCCGCGGCCACCGTTGGTGGGGGTCAGGCAAAAAAAACCCGACCATATATAAAAATGTAACGATCATTCCCTCACAACCTCTGCTTGGAGAGTAAGGCTTTCCGAGATGATCTCGTATCGCATTTCCCCTGTTCAAGGCTGTTGCCGTATGAAAACAAGGTTGGGGATTGTACAATAATTAATAAGGGACAACTATTCCTGCAGAAAGGGTGGAATTTCATGGCAAAAAGACAATAGTTTCCAGGTTGTGATAAATCATAATTTGTTTTCCTGCACGTGATCTGTGGAGGAAGTTCGTCGACGAAATGAAAACTCTAATAGAGAACACTTTAATATATCTCAGCGTACCAGCAAAATTTGCAGGAAACAACATTTCAGAGGGTTACCTTTAGTCAAATCAAGTCAAGTTTATTGTGCAACAATTGCATTGGATACAATGTTATGGGCAAATGACACTTAATAACTGTAAACTATTTCTACTAGTTTGTTTATAGGAAGGGATCAACATGTAGGCCAAACCATGTCCGGAAGTGGGGAGGTTACAAAAAATAGCCTCTACCAGGCTTGGGGAGGCGGATAGAAAGAGTAAGTAGAGCCAAATAGAGAGATAAGCATGCCAAGGGAGTTTGTCCGTTGAGAGAACATTTCGCCGCACCCCAATCATGACATTGTTAGTTATCCCGTTCAACACTACCGAACTAGTGACTACCGAACCTTGGCTGTGAGTAAGAAGAAGAACTTTATTACACGACAATTGCACATGGTACAATGTATGGCAAACTACATAAGGAGAGTAACAACAATAAAATAAGTGTGTTGAATAAGACCTAATGTCGAATAAAACCTAACATATCTATATCATAATTATTCAAATAATAAGGGATATCACAAGTCTTTGATAAAGTGTTACAATCGAGTGGGCTAATCACAAGTTTCGGTATTTTTTCTAATAGCAAAGCATTCCTTTATATATCTACCTATTTTTGCGTTGTGGGGACCATTACATGTAAAGATATATTCAAATCTGTCTCCAACATCGAGACTCTTGAAATCTATGGTACTTGATTCGAGAAATGTAAATAGCTTGTTACGTATAACATCATATTTGGTACATTCCATAACAAAATGAAATTCATTTTCAATATGCTTTGGACAAAATGGACAGAACCTTTGGTCAGGGGCTATATTGTAATATCTACCTGTTTCAATATTCAATTTATGGCTACTGATTCTTAATTGAGTTATTGCTTTACGAATTTCAAAATTATCTATATCACAAAGGTATGTTTCTTGAGTAATAACAGGTTACAAACGGTCTCCTTCCAGTGCGAACGGCTGTCATTACAGTAACACCCGGCCTCTATCATGTATATATATATATATATTGTATTTTAATCTGAAATCGTACTATTTTATCCTACGTGTTCTTGATGTTGATTTTTAAATGATAATGATGCTTTTAATCTATTGTGATGATGTTTGTATGATGTATAATTGTAAAATGTCAATGCAATTCAGACGTGCCCGAAGTACTTCGGCACGTCTGCCATGTTGATATTTAATAAAGATTTGATTTGATTTGAAAAGGTTATCTGTTTATTAGGTCAATGGTCCTAGAAAGGGTTATCTGTTTTCAGTTTCCTGTTAATGTATGCCTGTTGCTTTATGGGAGCCAGTGTAAAATGAATAGCCAGAATCAGCAAGAATAGTGTATAAAGCTAGTAATTTTTTATAACAAATGTAATTCACAAGAGAAAGAGTTCTCCAATTTCTTGTTTCATTTCAAATTAGAGCTGTATCTAAACTTCCGTGATTGTACCTAAGATTTCTTTAGGTACACAGCTATATGAGGGTCTGCATGGGGGGGGGGCTGGCAACGGTTAACGGTAAATATAGCAGGGCAGATGACGCTTAACGGTAAATTCAGGACGGTCGACAACGCTTAACGGTAAATTGACAGCCTTTTTTTCGAGCTGCACTGGACTTGGTATCTCGCTTTGTGAGAAAAGGTATGTGTTCCCTGTGTTTCCCACCTGCCCTGCCGGTCCCCGAGTGCGTCAACAAATAAAGGGGAGTCCGAGTCGATGTCGGCCAGGGCTCTAACCAGCTTGACTTTTTTCTGTTCGCCCAGTTTTACCGATGGATTTTGAGAGGGGAGCGCCAAAGGCGCTCGAAATCTCAGGGGGTCCGGGGGATGCTCCCCGGGAAATTTAGGATTTTTAAGCCTTCAAAAACGCAATTTCCCGCATTTTGAGAGGCTAATCATGGTGTTGAGAGTGTTTGTCGGTCTTTCTGATGTTTTCATATTTTTACTCAAGATTTTTGTTAATTTTTTGTCTGTCAAGGTTGATGGATTCGTTAAAAAAATTCTGTAACTCTCCGCAAAGACGGAAAACTGGTGCTGGCTAGAGCCGAAGCGACCAAGCGCAGAAGCGCGAGTCGAGCGCCAAAGGCACGAGCAATGTAGGGGGTCCGGGGGCATTCTCCCCCGGGAAATTTTGTATTTTTAAACCTTCAATGACGCATTTTCCTGCACTTTGAAAGGCAAATTTAGGCGTAACGAAGAATTATTCATTAACGCTTAACGTTGATTTTAGGATGACAAATAACGTTTTACGTTGTATTAAAACGCTTCACGAATATACCGATAACGCTTAAGTTTGAATTAGAGCGGGCCGGCAACGATTAACGGTGAATTAAAATAGCCCATAACGGTTAAGAAAAAAGGGCATACATTCCCTCCTATATTTCAAATCATACATTTACTACAGTCAGCTGTTGACAGAGTAACCTACAGGCTAGGGTTAGTACAAATTCTTGTACACATCCTACGTACCGCCGATCTTGTACACATCCTGCAGGGGAATGCGGAGAGGTTTGCCTGTAGGCCTGGTCGGAGGTTCGATGGCGTCCAGAGCATCCTTCAGCGTATAGCCCGAGGCTTTACCGGACGTGCGCTCGAAGGACCACCCCTTGTACCAGCCCATGTTGGTGGACCGTTCTACCATGTTGTCACCATGCCAGCCTGAGACCGGCACAAACGCAACGGTGGCGGGGTTGTAGCCGATCTTTTTGATGCAGCCACCCACTTCTTTGGTGATTTCTCCAAAGCGAGCCTAGAAACAGAGAAGTAATTTAAAAGAGATTTCTCAGGAGTGTTTATAGGGTTTTGTGACCTTCAAATTCACGTGCACTCTTTCCTGTGTCTGACCTTTTGAACCCCTGTCGTTCTGCCTGTTAATCCTCTC